ATATGAGGAGGTGGCGGGCGAGTTGCGACATACGGCGGGAACGTAGACCACCTTGATGGTTGATGTACGCTACAGTGGCGGTATTGTCTGATCGGACCAGTACGTGTTGACCCTTGAGCAACGCCCGGAGCGGTGCAGAGGAAAACGTACTGCCAGCAACTCGAGGCAATTGACATGTCATAGGCGCTGGGGTCCTGTCCAGGAGCCCGCGGCAGCATGTCCATTGCACATGGCGCCCCAGCCCGTGGTGGAGGCATCTGTTGAGACAACATGCCGGGAAGCTCGTTCCAGGGGCACTCCAGCCCGTAGAAAACTGAGGTTCGACCACGGGGTGAAGGTCTGACGGCAGGTCGGAGTAACTGGTACTCGGAGGGTGGCGTGTTGTCATGCCCACCTCGGGACTTGGTCGCGAAGCCAAAGCTGAAGCGGTCTCATATGAGCAATCTGAGCGGTGATGTTGCGCCTAGGGCTGTGTTGAAAAAATCGATTCACCAATTCTGAATCGATTTTGATATTAATTTCTAAAGATCGATCCGTAACTCAGAGGATCGATTTAATAATAGGCTTACATTTTCCCCGTGAACTTTAACTTGCCGCGACTGGGAGATCCCTTTATGCGCATTGAAAGGCTTTCATTTAGCGCGCACATTGTTATGACAACGGGCTTTGAGTGAGTCATTAAACCGTTCATTCAACGAACACGTTCAAAAAATCTGATTCATTAAAAGAGATGTAATGAAACAAGGTGTTAATTATTTGTAACTGAGTTCCACTTTTCAAGGCTCAGCTGAGCAGCAATGCGTCGCATGGGTAACGCTGAAGCTGATGCTTCACTTATTAGAGACCAATATGGCATTGATTCAATGCGTGACTCGCTGATTTTATTTCCCCGCGGCTTCCTCGCGCTGTGGAATGCTGACCAGCGCTGCTGCTGACGCGCTTTTATGGTAAATACCCGTGACTCGAAAGTTAAAAGGATGATACGACACATATTTCCCTTTCCTTTGACACGGCAACTTTTTTCACGAATACATATGACTTCAAAGACAGACGCAGGTATCGCACGCGCTCTGCCGATCTCTCTCATTCACTGTCTGTGCGGAGCCTCTGTAGGCTACACATCACCACGATAAACAGTCTTGTTTGTTATCATTATGAACTTGTTTAACATTCAATACACATGCATGAAGTTCAAAACAAGAAGGGTGTAGCCTTATAAAAAAACGTGAATATCGCGATTGCTGCGATTACTTGCAATTCTCTGCGGTTGACTTGTCAGTGGCGCGGTACTACAAGATTGCGGTAATCGCGACAGCCCTAATACTGCTGCTGATATACCTCTGCGTCCTCTGTGGTCTACACCAGTGCAAGTTTGTGAAAGCAGTTGTATCAACACTCTGGAAGGGGGATTGTTCTTTACAACCATCAATACTCCATTAATTTGCAGTTAAATGTCTATAATGAAGTATCAATATGTTGCATCCTGTAATTCACGTAACAGCTGGAAAAAAAATGCTTTTTTCAAAAACACTTATCTAAATCTCGAAGATCGGATCAGATCGGATCGAATCGAATCGAATAATGATAATCGATTCAAGATCTTGAGAATCGGAATCGAATCGATTCTTGAAATTTGAATCGAAACCCAGCCCTAGTTGCGCTATATGCCCCAGGAGCCTCTGAAAAAACTTCAGTAGAACCGCACTCTTGCGCTTGATTGCAGGCAAGTCAGCAGTGGCTGAGTGGAGAAGGCGACCAAGTCAATACCGAGAAAACAGATCCTCTGCACGGGGCAAAGTTTACTCTTTTCCCAGTTGACCCGAAGGCCCAGACAAGCTAGGTGCCGGAGCACTGGGTCCCTGTGTTCGCAAACCTAGTCTCGAGAGTGAGCTAGGAAAGCCAGTCGCCGAGATAGTTCCGGATGCGAACCCCGTGTTCCCCCGTGTTCCCCGTGTTCGGCGGCAAGCCTCAACAACCTTTGTGAAGGCGCGAGGAGACAGGGCTAGCCCGAATGGGAGAACGGCGTACTGATCTGCGCGTCCCCTGACAGCAAACCGTCTGAGTCGAACGGATACATAAGAGTAGGCGTCCTTCAGGTCGATCGCTGCAAACCAACCCTGTAGCCGCACACATCCGAAAATGCGTTTGGCCAGGAGCATCTTGAACGGCAGCCTGTGAAGCGAGCGGTTCAGATGCGCAGGTGCAGGATTGGTCATAACCCACCGGATTTCTCCGGGACAATGAGATAGGGGCAGTAAAATCCGGACCTCATTTCGGCTGGAGGGACAGTCTCGATTGTACCCTTCACCAGTAGGGTAGCAACCTCCGCTCTCATGATAGGGGCATAGCCACCGACCATAGTGGAGCAGACTCCCCTAAAGCGGGGAGGAGACCGTGCGAACTGAATCGCGTAGCCGAGCCTGATGGTTCGTGCGACCCAGTGGCACAGGTTGGGAAGCTCTAGCCTGGCTCCCAAGGACTGTGCCAACGGGGTCACGCGAACCACAGACGTCCCCTCGGTGGTGCAGCGAAGCGGAATGACCGGCCCAGGCAAGGGTGGCATAGCGGCCCGGCGAGGGGGCACGGTCATTAGCCGCGTCCTGACAGAGGAGGCCAGGGAAGGACCAGCGTTCCACGGGGGCCTGCTCTGCCAAGGGTCTCGCGACAGAGAGGGGATGAGAGTGGTACGGCCCGGGGGCGGCACACACTGTCATCCGAGCTCTGGGACAGAGGGGGATAAGAGTAGCGAGGCTCGTAAGCGGCGCGCACTGTCATCCGCGCCCTCTGGGGGCTCAGAGATGGGATGCAGCTCTTTGGAGAAGAGGTTCTCCCCCGGCCCTCCACCGGGGGAAGGAGTGGCCCTGCAACCACTTCCTGAAAGAACTGCAACCCACGTCTGAGCTGCCCGTAACGGGAGCGCCGCATCGCCTGGCGTTCAGCGGGGCTGGTACGGGCAGGGGCTCCTTCCTGCGACCACCTCCACGGCGCGGCCCAGTGCTGCTGGGGCCGGGCGGGAGGGGGCGGAAGTCGCAGGAGGGCGCGTTCGGCGGCAAGCAGACTGAGGCGTCTGAGCCGGCGGCTGGTTGGCAGCATATGGCCGCGGGGTCAGACAAGTTTGGTAGCCACAGTCCGCTTCTGGGCGGCCGAGAACTGTTGGGCAGAGTCCTCGACCGCACCGCCGAAAAGGCCAGCCTGGGATATGGGGAGTTGAGGAAACGGGTTCGCTCAGCCTCGCGCATATCAACCAGGTTAAGCCAGAGATGTCTGACCACGCATGTGGACATCACCTGACCCAGGGAGCGTGCGGTCACCTTTGTCGCTCATAGAGCAAGGTCGGTGACGGCAGGCAGCTCTTGGATGAGCCCTGAATCAGCCCTACCCTCGTGCATGTCATTGAGCACCCAGAAGGATGGCAATAACATGCAGTGAGGTGGCAGCCTGCCCCGCAGTTCTATAGGTCCTTGCCACCGGAGTAGACAAAAAAACCTACATTCATTGGAGGGGTGCTTAGGGTCGCCACGCCAGGTGGAGGCGCTGTGGGGACACAGATGTGTTGCCACAGAACACTCCACGGGGGAAACCCCAGTGTACCCTTGGCCGCGGCCTCTGCGAGGGCAGAGAAGGCGGAAGAGGCCGCTGAGCAGTCGCGAAAAGTCAAAGGAGACTCCCACGATCTCATGACCTCTTCATGCACGTCCGGGCAGAAAGGATTTGGGTTCGCCTCCCCCAAAAAACAATCATCAGCCTTAAGTGCTCGGGACATGGCAGATGGTTCCACACAAGCCCGATACTCACGGCGGCCCGGGAAAGCATAGCTGTCAACTCTGGATCAGACTCGTTATGCTAGCACACCCGAGGATGGCAGCACAGACGAGCCATCATCTCCAGAGGACTCCAGCTCACCTTGTGATGCGGCGATATACATGATTTCATCAGTCGGGGGACCGAATGAGACCGCGGGCCCACGGGCGGGCCGGCGAACTCACTCGGGACCACGCGGGTTGCAATGTGAAAGACGGCGTGTGGACCGAGGATATTTCGTCGGTTTAGTTCCAGACCTGCTGTCTTAGGTCACCCTGGCCACCAGCCGAAGTATTATCTCACGTGGAGAAAATAGATCGGGGTGTGGATGAGGGGACTCTCGCTCTATTGAGCTCATCGAGTCTCGACCGTTACATTGCGATGGTCACGTTCCCGCTGGGAGAATGTGACACATCTACGAGCGCTGTCTGAACGCGATCGAAGCCCAAACACGTCAAAACAGCGCTCGTGCCCATCAGGTGAATCTATCAGAAAACCGCACTCAGAATGAAAGACACGGGCAGATCGTCTTTAGAAAGACGCGTCTTTAGAAAGACGTGCCGCGTGCACGCTCTTTTTGTGAGAGAAAAGCTCGCAGCAGTGCTGAAGCGCCCTGGGAGAAACACACACGCTGATCAGTTCAGCAGGCAGGAATATGAAACTCGCTGGAACTCGCCATCACACCAACACCGACTGGAAGCTGCTCGTCTAGAAGATTCTCGAAGATAGTAAGAGAATAGGCTGCAGGAGTGAAGAAAACTTCTTGGCTCCGAAGCGAAAACATATCTGCATATTGCCGGCGTTCTCCTTTTATACCCATGAGGTAAGGCGGAGATATGCTATGCAAATTCCGCAGACCCATGGCATTTCTTTGCCATTGGCTCGTTTTGTAATACTCGAAGTCGATAGGCTTTCTAAGCGAAACCCCATTCGTCGTCATCCGACGGAACTCGGAGTGACAACGAAAGGGAACATGAGAAGCAAGGGAAGCTCATGACTTAAGACAAAATTAAAGACATGGAAATATAAACATTAAACAAAACCCAAAACAACATGACACTATAGAACATTCACTTTAATACCAACAATACTGGACAAAGAAACTGAGGGAACACAGGGCTTAAATAGACAGGGGATGATTAAGGCATGTAAAATGTTTCATGAGGTAGAATGTATCTTCTCTGTGTTCTTCTTCTCAGGCGGCAAAACTACCTATGTCCATCATTATTGTTGGAGTCGGCCAGGCTGAGTTTGATGGTAAGAAATCTAATCTCACACTTTTGTAAAGATTCAGTCTTTATCTTATTTAGTTTTATCTTTATTTTCTGTATATTTACTCTTATTTTCATTATTTGTATGTACTGCAAACATAAAAAGAAAATGTACTGAAAACCTTTTTTTGCTTGCTTGTTTGTATTGTACTCAGCATCTGCTCATAACTATCAACTCCACTAAATGAAAGCTAACATTAGCATTCCCACATGGAGGTTTAAAACTTGAAGGCATGAATGCGACTTCACAGTTTGCACTCACATAAAGTAGAGTTTCTGGATGAAACGTCACCTAATTTGGAAGGTTTAGGGTTTCGGACTGGTAAGCAGATGTCAACTCACAGATCTCACAGCTGTTCAATATAATTAGCCTGTCCCACCATCTGCTATTAGTATTTGTGTTTAGCCTTTCATAATGTTCCAGCAAAGAGGTAAATGTTGGTGTCATGCTGGGGGAAAGGCTCAAGATTGAGTTTTACTGGCCTGAGGGCAGATAACCTGATGATCTCACTTTTTAGCCATGGTAGAACTGGATGGCGACGATGTAAGAATATCCTCCAGAGGAAAGCTGGCGGAGAGAGATATTGTACAGGTACATATCTTTATGTATTTGTATATTTATGAATTTATGTCTGTATTTAAATTTATATGTGTGCGTTTACTCTACACACAAATGCACACACTATTTTATGGTGACTAGTGGTTGTCTATGAGAGAGACATTTTAAACATTAATTCAATTTTGTTAAAAAAGTAATTGATTAATTCAGGAACTGAGCCCCTAAATCATTCACTTAACTTATTTGTTCAAAAATATTGATTTAATCAGGAAGTGGATCACTACTGGATGGTATGTGGTGTATATATTGTCTAACTAGTGTCAAAATAATCCATTTGAGGAAGTTTCTTAAGGAATAACTTTGGTGACCTACATTTACAGGCATGTCAGATTTAACACTGCGACACCACACATGGAAAAAATAAAATATCTCAAGATAACAAACAACTAGCTGTGTGCAACCAACATTTTTTGTAAAAAGCCAGGTTTTTGTTACATTTTTTACATGGACATTTTAAAAACATAAAAATGATTCAGGGAATAAATAAACACCTATTACTAACTCCTTTTAACCTTGTCTGTGCCTGCAGTTCGTACCATTCAGAGACTATATGGACCGGACGGGAAACCATGTCTTGAGTATGGCCCGACTTGCCAAGGATGTCCTGGCTGAGATTCCAGAGCAGTTAATCTTATATATGAAGTCAAGGGGCATCAAGCCCAACCAGCCGCCACCAGACTACAGCCCACCTGGACTCAGCCCAACCCCCACCATATGAGTTTACCCAGCATGCTGAAAGAAAACAGCCATGCTTGTTATGTCACCTCCAATTTGGATCTCATTCAAAGCCAATACGACTGAATCAGTATTGGGCGTCTAGAAGAGCGGATGGCTTCAATTCTTCATTTTTGGATCCCATACACTGGAGAAATTGAAAACTAAATCTGTATTCTGGCCTTTGAACAGAAAAGGATGGTTCTGACTGGTCTGTGAGTTTGTTTCCCCCATAATTTATTCACGAATTAGTCAATGCTATGAACAGATTAATAGTTTGGATCTGACTGTGCTGGATATATGGAGAAGATCTGCGCAAGCAATACTATTTTTTATTTATTTAACATCTGAAAATCTACAAAAACGCTTGTGCGTCAGCATGCGAGGACTGTGGAAAATTATATAGGAAAATCTTCCTATATAATTTATATCCACCAGAGGTAAACAAGAAAAATAGTGAAATTATAAGTGATTGTTTGAAATAGTATACCCTTTATGGGTAATCTATGTAGTGGAATTGATTGATTTGTTTGCAGAATTTGTAGATAGTTTGTGTAATTGTGGTTTAATTTTTCCACAGGCAAAGTCTTTTTAGTACAAAGTAATATTTCCCATTGCAGTTTCCCATTTATAGCTTTTTAGAGCTATATGATGCTATTCTAAAGCATGAAATCCAGGTAAAAACAATTGTACATTGCATTAAGACACTGTAATAAATGCATTTACATACTTTCAAGTCAGTTAGGAAAAATCCAGTGTAAAAGAAAGCACAAATATTTTCTTAATGCTGTAAAATTTGTAAATGTGAATCAGAGAGAAGTTAGAGATGTACTCACCTCGTAAATGCTCAAGAACGCCAGATTTACTTTCCTTTTTAATTTGCCACTCCAATTCCTTATTGCTCTGGAGCCAGTATGTCTTGATATTGTACAGCAGCACGACCCATCAGGGGGAAACATGAGAGATGCCTCGCCGCTCGCTGCTAAAGATGATTGCAGATGAGGCAACATCTGCTGTGTTTCTGTCTGCCCGCATCCAGCCACACTAAACTTTTGCCCTTTCATTTCTGGGATTCACCCTGGAGTTTTCAAAAGATAAAAAAAAAAAAAACACTTTGCATGCAGCTGAAGTTGCTTTTCTCGCTGTGCGATTTTGTTTACATGTTCTAGCCTTGGATGATTTATAGCATTGGCATAGTAATTTGATAAACATCGAACAGTTAAATTAATAAACTTGCCTTACAAACAGTAAGTTTACATTAATGGTTGATAGCATGCATACATTAGAAACAGTATTTTATATATTTTTTTACAAAGGAAGCTCATGTTGATTTTCTTTTTCATTTTACTACCATAACAAAATTCAAACATTTAGCATTAGAAACATTAAAAAAAACATACATACAGCCTCTTTTGTCAGAGGTCCATTTTAAAACCTAAAAATTATCAGACAAATGTGTATGTATCAGTAAATACTGTTTTTCTTTATTGGACAGCAGGGCTGTTTATACTTGCTCTTACTCTCAGTTTTGATACATTTTCTTCTTGTCGAGTAAATCTTGACATCTTTTTTCTTGTTTGTCCCAAGCTGTAACAATGTTTTGGCTTTAGACCAAGCATCTGTTAATATATTTAAATTTTACATGAACTGTGAAGTTGAACTGCATTTTTTAAAAAGTCTCCATTGGTCCTGAAACTACAAATTTATGAGTGAGCACAGATGTTTACAAAATGAGAAATTCTCTTTTTAATCCACTTCTACAACAAGAACGACACTTTTCTTTTGCAGAGATGGTTACATTCGGAAAATCTGCTCCCAGGTAATAAGACAATGTGCTTAAATGCACCTCTCTTTTTCCATGAGTTATTAGCAAACCTTTAGTAACTGAGAATGAAGTGATCCATCAATCAATTAGGGGACGACGATGAAGTCTGACACACAGAGCATTGGGTGAAAGGGTTTGTTTGAGAGTGTTAACGGGTATATTGATTTATTCTACTTTACTTATTCACTGGATATTGTTTTTTTTATTATTTGGTGTTTTAAAGGTTTTTTTTGTTTGTCCCCGCCAAAGGGGCTTTCTGTGTTCTAGATGTAAACTTGTAATTTCTACTAGCATAAATGTAACCTCTTTTTTTTTTTAATCCTATTTAATATTCATCAACGCATTGCTGCTAGATGGCTTGTAAATCTGAAAACAAATTACAGGCTTCCTGAAATGTATATCACTATCCAGAGAATGTTAATGGGTTAATTTTATGGCATGGTGTAAATTTAGCAAATACTATTTTTTTTTTATCCCACTATAATAAATCCAGTAAGTCATAGTGAAGTAGCTCTCAAAATTATTGCAAAGAGGTATAATAGTATGAAAAAGTGTCAATTGTGTACTAAAGATGTTCAGTGCTAACATTCCCTCTGTGAGATTTGCATGATTGTGCCAAAATGGCCGATGGGTTCAGTGAAAAACTGGCCTGTTGCTCTACTTTTAAGCCTCATAACCGGAATACAGAGCATGAAGCATCTCGTTCTTGCTGGATTCCTTTTCTCTTTTTCTCTTCTTCTTTACCTCTCTTTATATCAGTCGATATGCATGGTGAGCTATTTCCAAACCGAACATAGAACATTGCTGTTGTCATTCCCGTGGTGTGTGAAATTTGTAATGGATTGCCTTAAAAATTACAAAGAATAAAACAATGACGTTTTTCGAGAAGATCGGAAAGAGATTTTTTTTGTATGCATGAGTTTCTTCTTCATGAATAATCCATCAGTTACAAACTGTTACAGTCTATTACAAACCGAAGCAGCCTTTAATGGGAGAGCAGAGAGATTTTCTCATTAATTCATGTTATATGCCACGGCCGGGCCCTCCAGAGACAGGTGTGCATTTACATAAGTCTATTCGCTTTAGTTCCTCTGGGTTTTGTCACATTTATTCTGAGCGATTAGTCACTAGTCTCTCTGGTCAGTGTTTAGATGGTGTACATGGGTGCATTTCCTCTCCTAAAAGGGTAAAAATACTGTTACTGTACAAATGTCTTTAGTTTTTTTTTTTTGCAGAAGAACTGCAGAAGTTCTAATCTATCCTGTGTTCATTATGTTTACTTGTTAAATTATTGCTATTTAGTGTGTGGTCAATTCTGTTTAGGCTGAAATTGACTGACAAAGGGCCATCCTGATGCAAATAGAGAAGCAAACTCTAAGTCAGGAGATAGGGAGAATTTTAACTAAGTGACAAGTATTGTTCAGACTTGTCCTTCAATCACAGTCTTTTTGTCATTGCCAAACAGCAGGAAAGTAGATAACTAACTCTCCGTCCAATCAGTGGGCTCCCTGAGGCCAGCTTGTGTGTTTCCTTCCTCAAGAGCACCTGCAGCATTTAATAAAATTCACTTCTGACACATCAGCTGCATCACCTGAATTGAAGGAAGGAAGGACAAGATACAATCACTGATTAGGAGTTGATTTGTTTTCTCCCTCAAACAAAAATGCATTTGCTAAATTGCCGTCCTGCTTCTTTAGGCTTTCAGCTGTTCTATAATGAGTGGACCTCTTTGAAATCAAAAGGTATTATTCAATGTTACCAGGGGAGATGGAGACTCATAATTCTGACAGATTGATTGACGGTCCCTTCAAATACCACCATATCGGTTTTGAGTGCTATAATGCCAAATTAATTCCACAAATTGCTCTGAAGAACCAGCGAAAGGAATGGCTTTCACTGGCAACGGTTTCCCAACAGAGAGGAAAAAAAAACATCTGGACAATGTTCTCTGGAAGAACAGATCCAAATGTCTGAAACCATCTGGTAGAGACACATACATCATAACAATCCATTCTACACAGATGACAGTGATAAAGCGGAGATGAACTAGTCAGTTATGCTCATACGGGGTTCCCTAAACGGTTTCATATAGCAGGGGTTCTCAAACATTTTGGAGCCAGGGACCCCTTACAGGGGAAAAACATCTCCAAGGACCCCCTCATATTTATAGCAGTGACTGAGCCTAAAGTTAATGTGGGAGCGGTTAATTAAATATTTTGACACAAATAGTCTCCACCCAGGGTCATTTGCAGGGTTTTCTAAATAGCATACTGAGGTCCCAAAAGTGATCTTGCTAGGGGGGTCCGAGGGCATGCCCCCCTGAGGAATTTTAGATTTTCTTGATCTACACGTGCATTTTAAGGTGTTTTTAAGGCCAAAAATTGTACTTTTATTCTTGATATACCCAGAAAGAATGGAAGTGCAATGTGACAACATGTCCCATAGGTGGGGCACATTGTAACATGACCATATGACAGATTAAAATGTTATCTGATCTAATCAAACAAATATACAAGACAAACAAAAATATTTTCTCAATAAAATACAATTAACTTTTTCATATAAAATAATGGCATTTTAAAATAATTAAAAATAAACTAATTTTTGAGTTTGACAACGAACACATATACAACATAGTTCAAAACATATTCATTGTAACGCAGTGTGACAACATGACCCACTTGCACAACTGGGATTTACGTTGTGCCCCGCTATCCCCTATATTTCCTTTCCCGGTTGATACTTTGCAAACTGATTGTTTCTGTCGTTCGTTTAAAACTTCTATCTTAAACAGCTGTTTAGTTTAGCGATTTACATCTTATCTCGCACTTTATGACCGAATAACTGAAGCGTCATGCGGAAATTCGCGCTCGGCTTGCAGCTTCTGTGAACATAAACCAGCCTACTTTGATTTAATCTCCGACTCAAACATTTTGACATTGACGAGCGCTGTTAGTCTGCTGAAGCAGCTCAGATGAGAAGCTCAGTTATCATCGCGATGTTTAATATCCTTGCAGCACCAAATTAGAGTTAATATTAGGCAATTATTTCACAACTTTCATTATACACATAGAAAAATTACAGAGGCCCGGACCTCAGGGACCTCAATTGTGGGTATACGACACTGTCCCTATGCACAAATTTATAATTTACTGTATTTTCCAGAAAATAAGTTGCACCTGAGTGTGTAATACTTTGTTGCGCTCTTGAGGCGTAGTAGGCCTACTTCCCCTCACTCCACAGCAAATCCTTAAATTAATGGTATTCAGAACAAAACGAGAATGAAAAATTATACTATTAATAGATAATAATACAAATAATAATAATAGTAGTATACAGACAACATTTATTTAAAACATCAATTCTAAACGAATTAAGTTGAATCGAAACTGAAACTGCAGACGTTGGGCTCGTGCATCTCTCATTCGGTCCAAAGTTTCCATATTTGCGATGTAGCCTAACATTTGGATGCTTAACTATTTATGTAAAGAAAGCTTCATGCTTCAGTCCCAATATAGGCCTACACGTATCAGCATCTTCACATTTTGGAGAAATGAGATTGGAACAATAGCAAGTCGACAGTATATGATTGACCGTCACTGCCTTCATAGTGTACAACTGCAACAGACAAATTAAATTAAGCAGAACTTTTTATAAGTTCGGTGAGTATTTTATTTTGACAATGAACAGGTTTTGATGTCAAATTAGCAGTGCTAGAACTGACATATTGTGCGCGCACACGAGACGCCGGCGCGAACACTTGGATTTTTCCTCAGCAGTGGAAACAAAGGAATACTCTTATTTATGGTCATACAGATAAGAGTACATCATTCAAAACGGCAAAGTGTCTATTTTTTTATTTGTGTATAGGCCTACATTAAAAATGACTACAAAATGTCATGCCTTTTAAAAATAAAGAACACAACAGGATGCGCGTTCTGCCGTCTCCGTCTCCTTTCTGGCGCACGTGCCCAAAAATCGACCAAAACACAGCGAATACTTGACGCACAGACATAAGAAATATAGATAGATTATCTATCTATAGAAACCTTTAAGAGCCTACTTTTTTATTATTTGACATTAAATGCATTATATAAGTCACGTTGGAATAAATAGCAAGTTTTCAGATGCTAAAGAAAACATGACTTATAGTCGGGAAAAACGGTAGGCTGTTATAAATTATTTCGCGGACCCCCTGGCTATAGTTCACGGACCACCAGGGGTCCGCGGACCCCACTTTGAGAACCACTGTCATATAGGACCCAGCACCCAATTATAATCAATCTTAGGACTCATTACACACTTTTTAGAGTAAAATATGCTTTTTTTTTATTCCTCAGTTTCATTGCATACGCATTATGACAAAATATAACAATTAGGACAACCATGAACAAATGCATCACTCTGAGTTACAGGTAAAGGGTGAAAATATTTGTTTTACTTTCTTGGTGGCACAGCAAGTAATAATAGCCTAAATGTTCCTAAGAGACATTGACATGGAACCTGCAGTGAGTTCAGTGAGTCATATTGATTCAATAGCCGCTCCGGTTGATTAGGTGAGATCATTCAGTGTCGGATTCGTCAAAGTGATTAGCTCAAGAGTTCGTGGGTGCTTCTCAAATGGAAAGCTGTGTCCTCAGTCCTTCGGGGCTTGTAGGTTAGAGTCCTCCTCAGCATTAAATGCTAGAATAAGACGCTCTAGGCCTAAGTGTGCATGGCTACATAATAAATGTTTCCGCCTCTGCCGTCAAAAAAAAAAAAAAAAAAAAAAAAAAAATCACCGGTATGAATTGTTTTACAGCGTATTGCTGTAAAACGAAATACAGTATTTTCCTTTTTTTTTTTTTACAGTAAAATACTGGCAGCAGAGATGCCACCAATTTTCTGTAATTTTATGCTATTAATACTGTGAAATTACTTAACAGCCATTTACTGTAAAAATAAATAAATAATTAAATACATGCAGTACATTTCTTCACCCAGTAGGCTACATTGTTTCAATTTACAATACACCCTAAAAATGGTAGGTTAAAAACATAAAAAATTTAAATCAAACAGGAAATTACTGTAAAAACACCGGCAACAGTAATAGGCTTATAAAAAGGTATAAAAATTTTTTTTTTATTAGTAGACAGCCAAAATGGAGAAAAATACACTGCCTGGTGAAAAAAAAGTTTCTTTGGCAGTGCATATGGCAGCCGAGATATGCAACCTTTCTAGGACCAAAGACTATAGACGCAGCCTTCCGTCTGAGAAGTATGGCATGTGTTTTTTGAACAATTCATTAAAGGAACCGGCTCATAATAGTCATTTGTTAGGGAATCTACGTATTCAGGTCACGCCAGAGGTGTAGTGGTAAAAAAAAGAGGTGGGTAAACTATAAATTCTGGTGGACCACGACGTGGTCACCCGGTAAGGTGGGCCACTGCCTACCTGATGACATTGCTAACATTGCTCGACATTAAGCCTTTTCACTTGTCCTTCAGACAAGTAAATCTGTCATTCACTTGTCTGAGTAAAAAAATTGCTCGTCCGGATTTTTTTTTTTTTTTTGGTGTGTGTGTTAATTTATTCTGAAACAATATTCTCATTTATTCTGATTATTCTCATCAGTGTTCAATCAGCTTTGATATTTAAATCGGCATTTTGTAATATCTGCACCTTTAAAGGGCATCCCCTCCCCCAATATTATTAAATGTATGCTTCTTCTTTCATTTTAAATTCATACATTTGGTCAATAAATTCAGTTATTTAGAATAATAAGACACTCTAGGGCTGTTACCCTAGGGGCTGATCAAATTAAATAATTTACACTTAAAAATTACAATTGTGTAAAATAATGTTATGAAATTTATTTAAATTTACATATAAGAAACATTGGAAAGAAT